CTGTGAAAGCCTGAGAGAGTATCTTCTCCCCATGTGACTCTCCTTAGGCCCACTCTATGTCATCGATCACTTTCCTCTTTGGCCCCATAATCTTCTTAATCAGAAAATTTGGGACACTACCGAGGTACATGACATTACAGTAAAAGTTCTCATATGTCCTGAGGACACTTTTCTTTACATCCACCTTCGGATGGAAGCACAAGTCTTCAGTGAAGGTGGAGACCTGCCTCTTGGGTGGCCCCTCATGTCAGGGTGCTGATGATGGCTCTCTTGGTTCTGGGAAGCTGTTCCTCTTCTCTGGATCACAGGGCCACCTCCTGCAGGGACAACTGCAGCTGGAATAGCTCAGAGCACAGGCTCGGGGGGGGGGGGTTTGTCTCAGTGACTCAGTGCTGTCCTCAGAGAGGCAGCTGGTATGACCCTTGTCATCTGGGGACATGCTGCATGGACCACTGTCTTCATGAAGGGGTAGCTCTGGTCTGCATGGGGATTGGGACTTGTCATTTTATGGACATTATCTGAGGTCCTGTTCAACTATCTGATGTGAACTTTTTCTTTTTTCAGGGATTCTTTTTTTTTTTTTGGTGGAACCAGGGATTGAACTCAGATCCTTGCGTTTGCCAGTCAAGCGCTTATCCTACTGAGCAATCTCCCGGCCCCATAATATGAACTTTTTCTACCTTTACCTTTTTACCAGAGAGTGGGCCTCATGCTCTGACCCTGATGAGAAGCCCTGGTTAGCTCAGGACCTGGCGGGGGGTGGGCATGGTATGTTGTTTATACCCACAAACTCTCCAGGGCAATTGATGGCCACATCTCTGGGGACAGGGTCGGGGATGGTTAGGAGTCATACAAGGGGAAGTCTGACCCCATTGTGGGCAACCTGAGTACTTGTGCGAATGGGGACCTGGCTGGAGAAAGCTCTGCTTTTTACCACCTGTCAGTGTCCAGCATCCTTGCTGGGCATACTCGGGATTGCCCACCTGCAGATGGGGACTTGTGTGGGCTTGACCATCTGGCTTAGGCACAGCTGGAGTCCCAGCCCCAGGGCACTATGGGAGGGCTGTGGGCCATATACTGGCCCCAGGGTATCTGAGGATAGCTGGAGCCCTGACAAGTGCCCGAGCAGGAGACTCAGGTATGTTTCTCCCTCTTAGAGACTCCACGCTTGGACCCAGGCAGTAGCGGGGACATGGCCCAGTCCGGAGGCCGGGGAGTCATCTGTGTCCGAGACCACCCTGCCTATCAGCGCTGACTCAGGCATGTGTTGTGAGAGTGATTCAGAGCCTGGCACCAGCCTGTCAGAGCCTGGCACACCTGATGTGTGGAGTCACACCTTCCTGGAGGGGACAGACGATGAGCTGAGCTCCCTGGTGGCCACAGAGGTGCTGCCAAGGCCTGGGGGCCCCATGGAGGCCATTGAGGAGCATGGACGGTGGCTGGCCATGTGCATCGAGGCTCTGCAGCAGGAGGTGGCTGAGGAGCAGCTGGCACAGGTGGACAGGGCCGTGGACTCCCTGGAGCCGTGGGAGATGTTCACAGGGCAGCTCCCAGCCACCAGGCAGGATAGACCCTGTGACAGGGACAGCGCGGGGCTGCGCAAGGTCCTGGGGGACAAGTTCTCCTCCCTGAAGCGGCGCCTGAGTGTGCGCAGGCTCTGCAAGGCGGAGCCCTCCTCCTACCGCTGGGACGGGGAGGAGAAGTAGCACAGCGAGGGGGGCTACAGGGCTGAAAGCTTCCTTCCAGAAGCTGAGTGGGTGAGGGTGCCTCCTGTGGGCCCTTTGGGTCCCTTTGTCCACTCTGGCCATGGGCACCTGTGGCGCAGTATCCTTGCCTTTCCCTTGCTGGACAGGGGGTCTGCCAGTTCCTTCAGTCAGGGTCCCAGTGACCATCCAGGGGCTTGGTAGCTGCCCACCCACTTCCTGGGGGAAGTGATGCTGTGTTTCTGTGGCGCCCTGGCCACATACATAGTCACATGCTGTGGCAGGAGCGGTGTTCCCTCCTTGGATCTTCATGGCATTGCTGCGTGGGTGGAGCTAGTACCCACCGGGCCTGCAGCTTCTCAGACAACTGCTGTGTGGGAGGAGAGCATCTAGTTTTCAGGGTAGAGGACAGGAAGGGAGAGGGCCTTGTCCTTAGAGGCCATAGTATGCCATCACCCGCAGTGGTGAGAATAGACTGCAGCGACATTAGGGGGAAGTTTTCTGACAAAGGTAGTAGCACTGCTGATATCAGTGAGGCCAAGGCCAGGATGGGTGTCCAGCTCATCCGTCTTTATATATATTTTGTTCTGTGGTCTGGTTCTATCTGTTCCTGCCACAGGGGTGTTAAAATCCATCACAGCTGTAGAGCTGTCTGCCTCCCTTCAATTTTGTGCCACTTGGTTTGAAGCTCTTTTGCGTGCACACACACTCAGCTGTGTTCCTGAAGTGACCAGTTGGCATCAGTGTCCCAGCCTGCAGTGCCAGAGTTGCAGGGAGGATGCTTCTGTGGCAGAACCCTTGGCTTTTCTCCTGGAAAGAGCGGAGAACCGGAGCTTGTGCCTCTGCTGGGTGGGGGCTCAGGCAGTTTTGAGGCTTCTAAGAGAAATGGGCTACAGTATAAGATTAGCAGGGCCCAGGCAGGGGAGGGGCACTGATGCCCTGTGAACCTGACAAGGGCCTAGTGGTACAGTCCTGGTCCCTGTATCTATCCTGGGCAGAGGTTGAGGAGGCAAACACACAGCTTAGCAGCAGCAGTAGGGACCTCACTGGGCCCCTGCTCTGTTTTGGCTCCAAAGAGACTGCCCCACCATTAGGAGGTTCCTGGGACAGGCTGATGGGGAGTCAGTGACAAGCCAGGTCTTTTATGAAGTGAGTCCCATGGGATGCCAGCAGTGGGCAACATGGCAGCAGGAGTGGAAGGCCAGGCCCCCCAAACTATAACCACTGCCCAGGAATCCCTTTTGGGCTAAGCTGGATGGGGAGGTGGCCACGAGCACAGCTGGAACTCCAGGCTGCAGTTCAGTGTCCTGGGTCTCCTTATCACATGGCGTGGCCTCCTGCGTCAGCTTGGAGCTCCAGGCTGTCACTTGTGCTCTCCATCTGGGCAATCACTAGCCCTCCAAGTCGGGGGATGACAAGGTTCTGGCAGTGCGTGGGAGATGGGAAAAAAGAGGGAGGCGGCCACGCATGCCACATGGCCCTTTGGGGGTGTGGGGCCTGGGTGTGGCTTCTGACCCTGTGCCATAGTCTGCCCATTTTCACTTTCCTTCTGTGCTCTGTGAAAGCATTACCTGAATTGGTAAAGCAGAGCTGGTGAGAGCTCACAGGGCCAGCTTGGGGCTCTCATCCTCAGTGCAGCCTGCCTGCACCCAAGGCCTTTGGTGCTCACCTGTCACGTGTCCTCAGAGCAGGAGATTGGGCAGGGGCGTGGGGAGGGTAGTGGGTGGTAGCACTCAGAAAAACTTTCACCAATAATAATCTTTTCAAAGATTGGTAAGCTCCCAAAGCGCAACTTTTAGGGACAACTCATGTTTTTTTTTCTTGATATACCTGTCAGCCTTAGGTTTTGTACAGGATAAGTAAAGAGCAAATGGGGACAGGTGCTGTGGGAGGAGGGCAGAGGAGGTGACAGTGAGTGCTATTGTGTCAGTAAAGCCACGGCTCCCAAATCTGCCTAAAGTAACTCCAGCCTGAGGCAGGACGTAGCTGTGCACAGAGATGTTTATAGAAGATTGTCTCTGTGAGCACGGGGCCATGTGGACTTTATTTTATTTTGTTGTGGTACTGGGGATTTAACCCAGGGCCTTTACACTGAGCTACATCTGCATCTCTTTTAAAAACTTTTTGAGTCAAGTTCTAAGTTGTTTAGGTTGGGTTTGAACTTGTGATCTTCTTGTCTTAGCTTCCAAGTGTAAACCTTTCCTAAAAAACTGGGCAAAATTAGGCTAGGGATGGAACACCTAGTGGTACAGCGCTTGCCTAACATGCATGCGGCTCTGGGTCCCATCCCAGAAATGCCAAGGTGGGCAACACAAACAGTCGGCTTAAGTGCTTCCTCATTTCTGGGTCAGTTGAGGCTCCTCTGGAACAGGCCATCCAGCCTGGCAGTTCTGCAGAGAGCCTCCCATGTCTCAGCCAGGCTGTGACCGAGGTGGGCGTGGGTCCTATACCTGGTGGCCCAACGTCTGCAGTTCAGCCTCCCATGGGAGGAGTGGAGGAGAAGCACTCTGCTCCTGTGGCGGAGACCTCACGGGGCAGGAGGGTGAGCAGCTTTGCACCTATCTCCAGGGAGAGGAGGAGGGTGAGTGGTGGTGCATCCTGTCTGCAGACATCAAGGCAGAGTTCTCAGTGACACACGCACACGCATGCATGCATGCCCATACTCACGCATGCACATCTAGCTAAGCTGCTAATGGTGAAGGTGAGGGTCCAGACTTAGATCCTATGAAGTTCTCAGGGGCTGTTGGAATATGCCAGGGACAGGTCTGTGCACCTTGTGCCAAGACAAGGTGCCCTCAAGACCTAACAGGCAGGCAGGTGGGCAGACAGGTAGGTGGGCACACACGCACTAGGCCTCTGAGACTGACTGCCAGCACCATGCCTGCTCAGGAAGGGTAGAACAGCAGGGTCCTCCTAAGTACTGGGGTACTTTATAGCCATCACTGTCCATTCTGAAAACAACAGCACAAGGCAGATGCCGTCAGCCCATTTAATGCCCACAGAAGCCAATGCAGATAGGGGTGCTCACCTCTGGAGCCCCTGCAGAGCTAAGCACAGGCTCCATTTGCCACCTTCATGTTCACCCTAGCTCCTGAGACCACCAGGAACCCCGGTGGTTCTACACCTCCAAGCCCACGGGGGAATAAGGAATATGGGGTGAGTGGCCAGTGCCCATGAGGATGCCAACCACAAGGAAGCCCAAAGCTGCTGGGGCTTTGTGGATTTGTTGGTATGAAGATGCAAGAGCCCAACTGGAATGGTTCCTTCCCATGAAGATGGTGAAGCAGAGCTCCTGGAGGCAGCACCTGGGCTTGGAGGATGGAGGCTTTCTTCCATGGGGCTCCCCATGTGGTGACAGCTGGGAGGGCACTGCTGCTGCTTGGGGGACAGTGGCTCCTGGGGCTGGCGTCCCCTGTTGAGCCTTTTAGTTTGGTTCCTGTGGGGGTGACTGCACACACAGGGGTCTGGTCTCAAGGAAACAGCAAATGTGCGGCCCTTGGGATAACAAGCTGCCAAAGGCCACACTACCCCATAACTGAGAAAAATGCCCCGCCTCACTGTAAAGACTGACTCTGAAAGCAGAATAAATACAAATAGCCAGTGGAAGTGGTGATGGCTCTTTCCTTTTCTAGTGTTCACAGCATCCTCTCCATGGACTGGAACCCACAGTAACTGAGGGTAGGAGGCAAACCAAAATGAACCTGAGTCAGCAATTTCTGAGAGGTGCCCAGGGGTCACTGGTTCTCAGGGGGCGACACTGCACACAGGGGCTGGGAAGGAATGGCTCCCCCAAAGGCTTGCCACAGCCAGGCCTATCCACCCTCAGGCCTGCTCTGAGCTGACCTCAGCCTCAACAAATTAACCAGACTGGAGGCCAGCCAGCTCTGCTGAGTGAAGTCACCCCCATGCCAACCCCAGGCATGCTGATGACACCACTGTCACACTGAGATGAAACCAGGCTCTTGTCACCTGGGCTTGTCAAGTCCTTGTGGCCATTACCCAGGCTTCTCTCTGGTACAGGCTGGAATCTGCAGAAATCAGTGTTCAGAGGCCTGCAGTTGGGCAGGGAGGTTGCACATGGTGCCAGCTGGGTTCCAAGTCATGTTTCCAGTGGACATCAGAAGTTGCAGGGGGAGGCAGAGGTGGAAGGATGTCTGTCTGGGATGAGAGCAGGCCTCAGCCACTTTCAGCACTGCAGTGACCCAGGGGAGGTTTCTTGATATCTCACCAGCCTGCAGGGGATCCCCTAGTAGACATCCGGGCAGTAGCATCCCAGCTGCCACCCTATTCCCTCTGTTGTGACCCTGAAGGCCAATGGGGCTGGTGCAAGTGGCAATCTAAAGGCCAACTGTGTTCTCTCTCCTGCTGTTTTGCTACCCCATCCAGAAGCATTGCTCAATGTGGGACTCTCTTTTTTTTTTAAAGACTTATTTGGTACAGGGTCTTGCTATGCAGTTTGGACTCAGTGATTCTCCTGTCTCAGCCTCCCCAGCACTGGGATTACAGGCATGCACCACACCATTTTGGTGGTCAGCACAGCACAGAGCTGGCATGGTGCAGGGCCAGCATGGTATGCTGGGATCAAACCTTGGGTCCTTGTGCTTGCCAGGCAGGCACTTAGACCACTGAGCTATCTCCCTAATCCAGTATGGGACTCTTTTTATGTGTGTGTGTGTGTGTGTGTGTGTGTGTGTGTGTGTGTGTGGCCAGCTCAGCCCACCAGGGGGCGGGGCTGGCTGGCATGTGGTGCTGGGGGATTGAACTTCGGTCCCTTTGCTTTGTTAAGCTTGTTCTAAGTAGGTGCTTTAGACCACTGAGCCATCTCACCAGCCCAAGTGTGGGACTCTTGAGGCCACAGCCCAAAGCTTGTCATGGACCCCAAGCGGCCATACCTGCAAAAGCAAACGAGGACTGTCAGGTGGGGCCAGGTTCTCTCAGAGCAGCAGCACTGGCTCTAGGACAGGCTGCACAGTGGGAATAGCTTTGCTGGATCACATGAGCTGTAATGTGCCTGACTCTGTGGCAGTGTTAACTGTCTGGTCCAAGTCCTGAGATTGCAGGTAACTCGGATACACAGAATACATTGTGTTCCTCAGAATTCCCATGCACACATTGCACATTTTCCCTCTCTGAATTCATAAATGCTGTATAGCTGAAAGAAGAAGACCTTGAGCGAGGTGTGGTGGTGCACACCTGTAATCCTGGCACTCCGGAGGCTGAGGCAGGATTACCACGAGTTCAAGGTCAGCCCGAACTATATAGTGAGACCCTGTCTCAAAACAAAAACCAAGCAAACAAAACAGAAAAAGGATGGGAGAGGAGGATGTCGGTCTCAAAATCTAAGTGGAAACAGACAACTCACCGTCTGAACTTGACCAGTGACCCCTGCCTGTGTGTTCTGAGGATCATGTACTGCTGTTCAAAAAGTTGTCATCACTGCGAGGGTGAAGGAAGGGAACAGGGAGGCCAGGGCCATGTACCTAGCCGCCACTTACCTCCCTCTTGCCTGGTGGGCTGGGCACCAGACCCACATCCTACATCATCCACACGGACCCCAAGGAGAGGTACCTGTCTGGAAGGTGTGATTCTGCCCCAGAGACCTGTGGATACAATGCTGAACATGTGTTTAGGGACCTACTGTTACCCACACTTCTGAGGTGGCAGCCGGTGACCACATTTGTGAAGGTTCCAGTGGGAGATACCATGCCAGGAAGACAGATGTGATTTAAGGCAAATTTTAATAATTTGTAAAAATCATATATACAAAACATGTTGAACCAACCGCCGTGGCTGTAAGAAACACTTTTTACACTTTGTCACATTTACCTTAGCCTAGACACAGTATGTGTAAACGGAGACCAGTTACAGTACAGTGGTCCTGCCTGGGCAGTTTTGGTGTTCACTCCCTGGGGACCCCGTGACACAGCATCATGCCCTCTTGGTGTTTAAGACCTCTGCCACATCCAAGGCAGTTTCAGGGCATTTTTGGTGGCATGATCTCCATCTCATCCATTCTGCAGGGCCTCAGCGCTGCTCAGCACGGAGGTCGGGCTCCCTGGGTGACAGGCAGAAGGTGGTGCTGAATGGGGCCAGGCACATTAACATTGAGGATGGTGGGGCAGGATGATGGGTTTTAGTTTGTTCTAATGGAATTAAGGGACAGTGAGATGGCTTTAAGTCAATTTGCTTGTTTCTTTTTTTTGGTACCAGGGATCAAACTCAGGACCTTGTGCTTACGAGGCAGGCACTTATTCTGCTGAGCTATATCCCTGGCTCAATTTGCTTAAGAGGTCAAAATAATTCTGTGAGGGTCCTGGGATTGCCAGACCTGATAATTCATCTTTCTGGACCCTGTGGGCCCCAGGTCACAAAAGCTGGTGAGAGCTTCTGTCCACTGATCTGAGGGTGAACCTAGAAAAGCGCATCATCCTGATGGCTGGGATGATGATCAGGGCAGCCTCACATCTGACTTTGCTGGTCTTTCAGGTGCAAGTCTGGTTGGTTTTTGATATCCCAATACTAAGAGCAGCCAAGAGACACTCGTGGTAGAGGCCTCCTGTGTCATTCTGAGGCTGTGGATGGGGGAAGATGAGTGCTGCAGGACACCCACACGGCGTACACGCTCTGAGAGGCTGCTGCAGCCTTGCAGATTAGCTGGGGATGGTGTCTGTAGGGTGGAGCTAGGGTTAGGTTCTGCTGTCTCTCTGAAGTGAGCCACAGGCTGTTTCCAATACAACCCTTAAAAGATGACTGCCCCACAGACGTGAGGCCTGCAGGCTCTGAATACAAGAACCCCAAGGGCAGCGTTAAAGATCAGGGCAATGTTCATTCAGCCCAGAGAGGAAGGCTCTGTGGCCACCATGTCCTCTGCTTTATGGGCAGGAAACCTTTCTATTCTAGCTTTGTCATTTTGTTTCCCTTGGTCTGTATGCATAGCCACCAATTCCCGCAGACACCTATTCTGCCGGGATAGTTTGCAGCTCACTTATTTCTGGTGACCTCGTGTTCCTCCTCTTGGGTTCTTGCGTTTTGCATAGGCATTTCATGTGTGGGAGAAGCTTGGCATGCTAAAGGGACTGATTCAGCAAGGTGTAGGCAATGTACACAAAGGACAGCTGTCCTGAGGGCTTATATAGTTGGGGTGGGAGCCTGCTGGTGGGCAGAGCTATCTGTTCTGGACGTGAGGCCCTCAGGATAGTAAGCAAGAGGACTGAGGGAGGCTGCAGGCCACTGGTAACCTGCTGTGGCTGGAGGTCAGTGGTCACCTGCAGAGACATCAGTGCTTCAGTGTGGAAATCAGATTCCCTACTCTACCATCCTGAGAACAACCAGGCTTCAGGTTCGAGAGCTCTGCAGGGGTAAACAGCAGGTGTCTAGCACTCTGATGTACCTCTTCAGGACATCAGGTGGAACATTCTGGAATTCTGGGCTGCTGAGGCAGAAGCAGCACTGTCCCACGTGAAGTTACCTCCCAGACTCTACTTTAGACCTTCACTCTTCCTGGATACAGGCACCAGCTGGTGTGTCACCTGCCCTAAAACAATGGTTCACATGGCAGTATTAGCTCCTGGGCCATCTGAGTGGCACTCAAGAGCTTTTTTCCCTATGGATCCGATCCCTTTCTCCCTGGCCCAGTGCAAGGCCTTATGGAGGGGCTGGAGCTGAGGTCTGTATCAGCCCCTCTTCAGGTGTGTGGACTCTCCAGAGTGGCAGGAATACAGGGCTTTCTGCCCTAGAGGCTATGTACATCTCAGGTTCCTCAGAGAAGCTGGTACTGGGTATTGGAAGGGCTGCCCACTTGGGCATGGGAACATCTTGTGAAGATGAGTATCTCTGCACCAAGGAGGTGTGTTTCCTCCTGAGGTTGCTGTTGGTCACATCCAGGGGCTTGCCCTCTGGTGACTGACAGTGGTCATCCTGCCAAAGGCAGAATTCTATCTGCCTCACAGATACTTCAAGGACTGTCTAATCTTGTGGCCCTCCATGCTGCTGTACACTCATCTTTTAAGACATATAGATGAGAGCTGGGTCTGAGGGGTCCTGAGAAGCACAGAAGCTGCTCAGGTGAGCTAAGTCTGTCCCCTAAGCTGAGAATCACTATTTTGTCCAACTTTCACAAATGGAGGTGTTGAACCCCAAGGGTTGGGCCTTTGGCCTTCTGGGTAGTTGTGGGCATGCTTCTGCCTTCCCAATGGGGTCAGCTCAAACCTTGCTGGCTGCACATAGACAAGGCACCGAGTGACACACGCAGCCCTGCTAGCAGCCTGCTTATTGGGAAAGTGTGAGAAGGCTCTGGCTACCAGCTGTGGCAAGGACCAGAGGCATCTGGGCTTTGTTAGCATGGCTCCTTGTTCTCTGGCTGGGACCATTACCTGTCACCCAGGAGTGGCAACCACAGCACTGCCAGGCCCTGGGCCCTGCTGGTCTTGCTAGTTGCTGCTGGGCTTCTCATACATGCATGCACATATGTGAACATATGTGCTACGTGCTGCTTTCAGACCCTTTAGGGGTGATGGTCTTTAATCAAACCAGAATTTCTGAGGCTCTCCTACACACCAGGCTTTTCTGGTATGTGAAAATGAAAGCTGCGATTGACAAAGAGTGAACTTTCTTCAAATGACATTAGGATGGGAGTTTTTACTGAAAAATACAAAATTAGTGTTCGTTTGAATACTGAGTGATACATATCAGAGATGGAAGTTGCTCCGATCTTCAGGCCAGACCTTCCTGGCCACTGTTAACACAGGTACAAAGTAAAAGCCGTGGGCAGCTGGCTCTGGATGACCGTCGTAAGGAAGGCCTTTGTCCTACAAAACCAGATGAGGAATTGTGTCCCAAGACCTCCAAGTTTGTCACTCATAACCAAACAGCTTATTTTAATGTAATTTTTGATCATGGAGTTAAAATAACTGTACTCATCTTTTACCAAAGAAGTTGGAAAAATCATAATTATAGAGCTCTATAAATTGGAGCTGACTCAAAATATCTGATTTCTTTACAAACAAGTTAAAAATAGGTATCAGTAAAGACCTACACTGTGTTCTTTAGTATAAACATATAACTATGAGGAAGTCTTATTTTGAGAAAGTTTATTGTTATATTTCTGCAGTAATAGATGAGGCATGAGTACCTCCTGCTTCTCCAATATTTGCAATAAAATAGAAAAGACAATAGTCAAGGGTAACAGTGGAATTAAAATTAAAAAAATACAAAAGCCTAAGGTTTTGGAGACAAAAAACAACTACAATCTATGTGTAGAGAAGTTGCAAATGTTTTCAGCTCAGCCTTCAATCAGGCCTCTTCTCCAACTCTGACACCTCAGTTCTAAGTGGGCATCCTTGTAGATGGATGCTCTAAGCCCCCTGCATCGGAAAGAGGAGGCTGCGGAGGCTCAGCTAGTGGGACCTGAGGCCAGAGGCTGAGCTGGTAGAGGACCTGGACCCCTGGCTGTCCCAGCTGCTCCTGTTGTGTTATCAGAAGTCGCCATATCTCACTACTGCTATGCTTCTGGGCTTGAAAGTGACTGTCTGTATGTCAGGCTGGAAGAGGGAAAGCTCTCCCCAGAGGCTGGCTTGGGGCACAGGTCACAGTGGTCTCCAACAGCCAGGGAGCATGCCCCAAGGTGGGTATGCTCTCCTCTGGGTCTCAAGCCTAAGAAACACCATGTGAGATACTGGGCCAGGACAGCTCACTGCGTAGACAGACCACCTTTACCATGCTCAAATACGCCTACCCTGATAGGCTCTGCCAAGGTTACTCATTTCCTTAAACACTAACCCTGGTGACTGCCCCTAGACCTGAAGAGCTGTGCAGGAAGCAGTACAAAAACAGCAACTTCTCTTCAGCCAAAGAGCCCAAACCCCAGCAAACACTAACATAAACCTCTGAACACTGAAAGGTTTTGTGCTGTCCTCTAAAGAAAGCCTTATGACACAAGATGATGCAGAAGCAAGCTTCTCTTCCTCTTCTCATCTAACATCAGCCACAGACTCCTGTTTATCTGGTTGCTGAAAAGAGCCAAGAGCAAGAAGCATATGGGACACAGTCAGGAGCAGCGTGGCCTTGGGACAGGCCTTTGGATGGGTTAGTGAGCTGCAGCATCTGCTGCCAATTTCTCTCACTTGAAATGCTAGGAAAAGCCTCTCTTCTACTCCCAGACTCTTTTGGGAGAGTAACAGAGGGGCAGTTTGGAGTGGCAATGTCTGGGAGACACCTGGCAGGTAAGTGGACAGCTGATGCTGTACCGGCTCACACCTCCCGTGCAGCCTCCTACAGTGCCTACTCTTCTCCCCTCACCACAGCCCACTTCTGTGTGTGCAGCAACAGAAGCGAGAGCCCCGCCAGGAATGAGACTGAGGGGCGTGCTGAGTACAAGGACCCCTGGGATTCCAGGGCTTGTGGGCTTTGTGAGGGGTCAGCTGTGATAGGCTCTGGAGAGCTGGGGTGCTCCTGAAGGCTCTGCATGTGCTCTTGGAAGCCTAGGAAAGGAAGAGGACACTCTCTACTGTTTGCAAAAGAGGGTGCTACATATTGCCAACTGTCCTGTCAGAAGGTGACTTGTAAGTCAGAATAAGAAGCCACCTGTAAGGCTACTTGGCTTATGTGTCTTTGTCATCATGTGTGAGGGAGTGGCAAGGAGTTAAAAAGCACCACTGTGTGAGCCATGGTGGTGACCATTCCCACTCTGCGCCACGTTGCTGGGCAAGCTGATGAGGCCAGGCCTGTCACCAGGGCATTAAGGCAGGGCCACAGCCCCCAACCTCATCATTCACAGTGAGGGGCAGGGTTGCCTGACACAGCTCCTCGGCGCAACCTCACACTCCTGGAGTGGGGGCTCTTAGGACATTGGCACAGCTTAAAAGGCAATGTATTCACTTTGGGAGGTGGCACTTGGACCCTGAGCCAGGACGGCAGGGCTAGCTCAGGCTATGAGCTTAGCAGCACTGCCATGTATCTGCAAAATACTGCAAGGCAAAGCTTTCAGGTTAGTCTGTCTCTGTGAAGACGTGCAAGTTAGAGAGGAAAGCCATCTGCGAGGCCAGCTGGGTCTGTGTTTCTGTTAGTAGAGAGCGAGTGTGTGCGTACACACACAACACTTGATTACACTGTGCCAGGAAAGGACTAGGGTTTCTGTAGAAAGGAAGCCGTGTTATCAGGGATTACAGATTAACACCAAAGTGATCGCTTGGGTTTTCAGTAGTTTCACTAGTCCCCAGATTCAGTAGCTAACATCAGAGTCCCCATGTCCTTTTCCTGATGCTTGCTGGCCTGGCTGCTGTCCAGCATTGTGGGGCCAGGTGTCTGATGACAAGGGTCTGAGAAGGCCACAAGGACACATCCCCCTATGAGACCCAGCCGGCAGCTGTGGGGCTGCTCAGGGATGCTACAAGATGAGGGGCCTTCTCCTTCACTGCAGCATGATGTCCTTCAGGTTCTCTTGCAGGATTGTGTCCTTCACAGCATGGAACACGAAGCGGATATTCTCGGTATCGATGGCAGTGGTGAAGTGGTGGAACAGGGGTTTACTGCGATTTCGTCTCTTTCTGTCGAAACATTGGACCAGGTAGCGCTGGACGTCCTCCAGCCGGTGTGGGTCGCCCTTGAAGTCCGGGAAGTGCTTCTTGATGCTGACTGTCTTCACTTTCTCCACCAGGAGATCCATCTTGTTGAGGAATAGGATGATGGAAACATTGAAGAACAGCTTGTTGTTGACTATGGTCTCAAAGATGTTCATTGACTCTACCAGCCGGTTGGTGCACCTGTCCTCCATGAGGACCTGGTCGAACTCACTTGAGGACACCATGAACAGGATCGATGTGATCCCATCAAAGCACTGGAACCACTTCTGGCGCTGAGACCGCTGGCCACCCACGTCCACCATCTTAAAAGGGATTTTTTTAATAATGAAGTCGTGTTCCACAATTCCCTTGGTGGCCTTCCTGGCCAGCAGGATATCTTGCTTACTAGGGAAGTAATTCTGTAAAATATGGGATGCAGGACAGTCAAGAGGGGAAGAGAGAACAGGAAGAAAAAAAAAAGCAGAAAGAGTGGAGAGAAAAGCTACACTAACTTGCAATATGTTTAACCAAACACCAAAAGCAAATTTCACTTATAGAACTATAAATTTACCAGGAAGCAAAGTGAAAGGATTAAGTGCATTTCAATACAGTTGGAAGCTCCTCAGTCTAGGGAAGAAGGGAGGAAGCCTCACTTCCAGACTGCAGCATAAAATTGCATCGATTTTCATTTCTAGAGGGAATTACTGCCTTTTCTGGTTTGCTTCTGCAACATTTTTCCTGTTTTGCAAAGTAATTTATAGTTAATCTCTGATATAACGAACACATTATTCTTTTTTTTTTTTTGGTGAAACCTGGGATTGAACTCAGGCCCTTGCGCTTGCCAGGCAAGTGCTTATTCCACTGAGCCATCTCCCTGGCCCCTAGCACATTATTCTTGGAAAAATTTTTTCTCTTTGGTGCTGGGGATAGAACTCAGGGTCTTCTATATGTTTAGCACACCCCCAGCAAGCCCCTCAGAAAATGCTTTAGTCTTTAGCATCACAAACACAACAGTGGCAACTCTCTAGCCTCTGAGCATGAATTATGAAGCATCCTCCAGATCCTGGTGCACAAAGCTACTCAAGCGGCAGTCATGCAGCAAACCCCTATCCCTGAGACTGAACTGGAGGGCTACTTGCCAGTTCACAGGGCAGAGGCAACAGGGGAGCAACATCACTGAGGAGAAGTACGCTGCAGGACTGGTCAGCAAGATCTACACTAATATACCCCATGGAATAAGTGATCTAGTTACTTTAATCAATAAATGAAGAGGAAAAAAGATGAGAGGAGAAAATAGATTGAAAGAAATGTAAGTGACATGGACCAGTTGTGATAAATGGACCTTACTAGAATGTTGATTCAAATTGTTTTTCTTAAAAAAGAAAAACCCAGCAATATCATAGGAAAACATTAAGGAGGTAGCTGGAAAAGGTCTTAGAACCAGATGTTGGTTGACGGTAAGGAATCATCGCTAGTCTTTCAGGAGCTCAATGGTATTGCACTTGTGAGTTTCAGTCTCATTTTTTAGAGAACACCAGTGTTGAAAGCGTACCATGCTGGATCTGTTCTTGCGGGTAGGGCAGGGCAAAGTGATCCTCACTGCATTTGGGGTTGTGTTAAACAACTCGTTTTGTATTTGCCTGACCTTTCCACTAGGAACAAGTTACAGGAAACCCTCCTTTGACAGAAGGACTCCTCTGTCCCCTCACAGTGACTTGGGGGAAGAAGTCTTTCTCATAGAGCAGTTTCCTCCCTTTCACCTTAGACAAAGTAGAGATCTAAGCAAGAACACGACATTACAGTACTCCTCAGGGACATTAGAGTAACATGGTGTCCTGTTAGCATGGCCAAGGCCATGACTGCTTGCTTTAGTATCAACACAAAGGTTTTTTACCCTGGATCACAGACTGGTGAACAGGTGTGTGTGTGTGTGTGTGTGTGTGTGTGTGTGTGTGTGTGTGTTACTCACCAGCTGGCCAATCCGGTCTAAGTTATCCAGGAAGTACTTCACTGATTCACCCTGTTATGGAGGAAGAACATTCAAGACTCAGTTTGGATTAAGGAACCTGACTCAAAGAATGGAGTAGGGTTACACTAGAACTATTCTGCTATACAAACAGGAAAGCAGAATAAAAGAGCAAATATTTAATTTTTAAAATTAAAGGTACAGGGGTCAGGGAGATGGCTCAGTAAAATAAGCACCTGCCTGGCAAGCACAAGGGCCTGAGTTCAATCCCTGGTTCCGCAAAAAAAAAAAAAAAAAAATTAAAGGTACAGTTTTAAAAATAATGCTGTTTCTTGTTCCAACCCTGAGGTTCAAAACCTGACTCTTTCTCAGAGCTCCTTTGCTATGCAGTCTGATGCCTGGTGGACGCTAGCATACTCTGTGGTGGGCACCAGGGAGGGACAGGTCTAGAACCAGGACCCTGGACATTGGCTTTTAAAGTAGTAAATCCTGAAGTGGCAAAGACAATGTATTTTCCACTTTCTAGAGGCATTTCATTATGACTTCACACACTTATGATCTGATTTACAGCACAGAACAAACAGGATCTTTCATTTGCATTTCTATGGTGGAAGGATCAGTCTTTTTTTCCTGGATTAAATATTGACACAAATAGAGCCATATTCCACAGTGATAGAGGCACCTTTAGGGTCACTCATGATCCTGCTTTAGGAAATAAACGACATTGCGCATTCATGGGAAGAGTTCTGAGGGCCTCACATTTTTATTTTTTTAAATTTTTTTTTTTAAATTTTTTTTTGTGGAACCGGGGATTGAACTCAGGTCCTTGAGCTTGCCAGGGAAGCGCTTATTCCACTGAACCATCTTCCAGGCCCATTTTTTTTATTTTTTATGTATTGGTTACAAGGTCTCACTACGCAGCTTGGATAGTGATCCTCACTACGCACTCATAGTGATCCTCCTGTTTTCAGCCTCCCCAGTGCTGGGATTACAGGCATGCACCACCATGCTCGGCCTTGGTGGTCATCTCAGTGTGCCTGTGTGTGGGGCCAGTCAGTATGCAGTGCCGGGGATGACCCCTGTCCCTGTGTTTGCCTAAGCAGGCGCTTAGTTCACTAAGCTATCTCGCTGGCCCTATCTGCCCAGTTTAAATTTAAATCTCTACTGAGTTTGAAATCAGTATCTTCTAACTAGACATATCAGATCCTAATACAGAAAGACTTTTGTTGTGTTTTTCTCCACCAAAATGGCCCATTCTCTATCTCGGTTTATTTTATTCTTTGTACATAAATTATTCAGGGTTATTCTGCCTTAGAGTCAACCAAGCATGGACTGAACCACCTTCTGAACCTATGAATAAAATAAACTGCTCTTTCTTATGCTGTGGGTATCAGGTATTTTGTCTCAGTGATGGAAAAGTGACTCATCATACCCTCTTTCATAACAAGCAAAAAAACCCAAACAAACAGAAAATCAACAACTTTTCTTAAATACATCAGACAACTGAGGTCACAGAGCACACAGCTGTTCCCAAACTGGAATGACAGGCAGACGAACACAGAGAATAGTAGCTTAGTAAGAGCAGGTACTCCTAGAATCAGCAACTCATATGTTCTGTGCAGCTCTCAAGAAATAATTAGAGCCAAGTTAAAAGACAAATGAAAAACAACAACAAAACTCACTATAGCCTGAAGAGACAAAGCAAGCATCAGAATAAGATTCATATATGGAATCTTATTGACTATGGTCTCAAAGATGTTCACTGACTCTACCAGCCGGTTGGTGCACCTGTCCTCCATGAGGACCTGGTTGAACTCACTCGAGGACACCATGAACAGGATCGATGTGATCCCATCAAAGCACTGGAACCACTTCTGGTGCTGAGACCGCTGGCCACCCATCTTAAAAGGGACTTTTTTAAATAATGAAGTCGTGTTCCGCAATTCCCTTGGTGGCTTTGGAATGATCAGATCAGTGGTGTGAAATAACTGATGAACATGCCAGCAATGCTAATGAAGGAAGAGGACAACACGCCCAGGCAGATGGTAATATAAGCAGGAGTTCCAGGAACTCTAAGAGAGGAATACCCAGCTAGGCTGCAAATCAAGAGGGAACCACAAAGTAAATCAGAAAACACTTGGAGCTTAATGAAATTAATAGTATCAGAATTTCTGAGATGTGGCTATCATAGTCCTTAGAGGAGACATCCATACTTTTGAATGTTCCTGTTAGGAAAGATAAATGATCTAAAGGTTTTACCTCAAATGGCCTAAAAAGGCAGAGTAAGGTAAGCAGGAGGGAGAGATGACAAGTTAGGACCAGATACTCATAGGACAGAAAAAAAAAAGGCCAAAAGCTGGTTCTTCAAAAAAGTCAATAGGGGCAACTTTCTAGCTAGAGAAGCAAGTAAGAAAAGAGAGAAATCCTGAGGACTGGATGAAGGAAGTTTGCTGAAGACCCTGCAAACCCTGGGTAAACATGAGCAGGGCACGGCCAACTCGGTGCTGATGGATTTCTTCCATGAAGTCGTCAAACTGCTTTTAAAATCTTATTAAGTGACACTGTGGAAACAGAAAATCTGAACAGTCCTATATTATGCTAGAAAACAGAATTTCTTATTAAAAAAGATCTTCCCCAAAGGAAAACTCCAGGCCTAGATAGTTTTCTGGTGAATTCTATCAAACACTCAAAGAAGAAATCACACTAATCTTACATAATAGGGGCCGTTGAGATGGCTCAGTGAAATAAGCACTTCCCTGGCAAGCGCAAGGGTCTGAGTTCAATCCCCAGTTCCAAGAAAAAAAAAAAAAAAAATCTTACATAAATTGTTTCAGAAAATCATACAGGAAGAGCTAATTCTAAGCACCATTATAAAAATATTTATTTATTTGGTGCAGGGTCTTGCTACACAGCTTGGCCTCAGAGTGATTCTTCTGTTTCAGCCTCCCCAGTGCTGGGATCACAGGAGTGCCCACCATGCCTGGTTTCGGTGGCTAGCCAGGTCCTTGTGCTTGCCAGGCAGGCACTTAACTGCCGAGCTATCTCCCCTGCCTCTCAGCACCTTTTTTGAGGCCAGCGTAGCCTTGATACCAAACTGATAGGAACATTACCAAAAAAGGAAAATCGCATTGTAATATCCATCTTGAGCATAATATCCTTAGTAAAACTTTAGCAAATCCATCCCAACAACATAAAGGAGAGTACATCAATAATATACAATGTGAACTCCATTCTAACCAACTAAAGAAGGACATATAAAGTTTAATAAGTGTATAAAAAAGGCACTTGAAAACTCTGACATACACTTAAGGTTAAAACCTCCCAGCGAACAGTACAAATACAGAGTTTGGTGAAGGACAGCTACAAAACACCTCCAGTTAACATCGTAATTATCAGTGAGGTGTGGAATGGCTTCCTCTAAGGTTTGGGGAACATAAGAGTCCCCGCTGTACATTTTTGGCCACACTGCAAGGGCGTCCACTTGCAGGGCAGTGCAACAGCAGGCCAGCGCACGCACATGCGTGCGCACGCACACACACACAGCAAGCAAGAAGTGCAATGACTGGGAAGCAAGACATAAAACTGAATTTTTAGCTCTTGTAACTGTTCAAATACAAAATCTCAGGAATCTATAAAAAAGCTAATGATAGAATCTGAGTTTAGCAAATTCAGAAGATAGAAGGTCAATATACAAAAATCAAGAGTATTTTTATATACTAACAACAAAAAAGCAAGTCCATTTACACCAACACTAAGAAACGAAATATTTAGGGGTAACTCTATTTGCTCCATACTGTGTGCTGTGAAATAGTTACACACACACAGGTGGTTGCGAAGAGCACACTTAATGGTCCTAAGTACCTGTCATCTGTCCTGCCCAGTAGCTACACCTTATATAGTACAGTATCAAACTGTGCACCTGTGTGCATGTGTGCACGTGGTCCTGGGGGTGCAACCCAGGGTCTCGGCATGCTGGACAACTGATCCCTCACTGTACCTGTAGGCACCTCCCCACTGTCTGACACAGGGTCTTGCTAAGTTGCACAGGCTGCCCTCAAATGTGTGTTTCTTCTGGCTCAGCTTCTTGATAATACGACTGCAGGCCTTGGCACCACGCCTCGCAGAACCAGGGTACTGACATCAGGGTAATGTGTGTCAAAACCCAGCACTGTGGCACCCTGGGTCATCCTATCAACATCAGGGTCTCTTCTTGTTTTCTACTTTGATTGGTGTAATGCACTGGGTTAGTACAGCTCTGAGAATTCTGTACTGACACAGGTCCTTTCACTCTGTATGTTTTCTTTTCATCTTAGGATCTTTCACAGAGCAAAGGTGTCAAATGTTGGTGAAATCAAAATTACTTTTTACAGAATTTTTTTCTTGTACCAGTCACAACTTAGGTGTCACGTCTAAGAACTCTTCACCAAGCTCTAGGTCCCTAGGAGTTTCTACTATGTGATCTTTCTAGATTTTCAGTCTTTTACTCTAAAATCTGTGATTCAGTTTGAGTCAGTTTGTGCATAAAGTATGAGATTTAAACCAAGAGTCAGTTTTCTTGCCTACAGATGCCACTTGTTCTACACAATCTGTTGAAATGCCACCTTCTTCATGGGACAGCTTTGCCTCTCCGTCAGAACCCAGCAAGGAGCTGTGCATGGTTTTGTTCCATGTACCTACAGGGCAGTCCCTTGAGCAGCCACACAATCCTGAGGGCTTCAGCTGCACAGTATGACCTGAAGTCAGGTAGAGGGATCCCTCCCATGGTGCCCCTCTTGTGTGTGTGTGTGTGTGTGTGTGTGTGTGTGTGCACATGCCCATGTGTATGTGCATGGCTATTTCAGTGTCTTTCTAGATAAATTTTAGCATAGTCATAGTCATGCCTATATCTACAGGCCTGGAGAGATTTCTGGTAGGAACAGTTTAATCTGTAGAAGTGCCCTCTTTACAACACTGAGTTTTCCCATCCATCAGCACACAACTGCAAAGGTGAAAGATTTTGCTTTGAAAAGAGAACCCTAGAGCACTATACAGTAGTCCCTTGTTATTTTGTGGTT